CAGGTCTATCCGTGCTGGTTGACATTGGTGTTCTGTCGTCCAAAATTCCTTGCGCAAGTAGTCATACAGGAGCCCTCCACACGACAAGTTAGAGGCTGGTTCCCATGTAGTTGACTCGTAGCTAACCCACTTCACCTCAAATTCGCGCACAGGCCGATCCGTGCTGGTTGGCATTGGTGTTCTGTCGTCCAAAATTGCTTCCACCTCGATTTCGCCGGCAAATTCGTCTGGCATCCAACTGTCTTCAGGCAACGGCTCTTCGTCGAAGTCAAATATTGCTTCCTTGGCAACATCTCGAGCTAGTCGCGCCTTTGGGCGATCACAAAAGTCGTTTACAGCCTTCAGTCGAGAGACGTGCACCACTGGGTAGAACCGATACTCACTTTTATCTGGTAACTGGAGCTCGTATGCTAGCTCTTCGACCTTCCGCTTCACTCTGAAGGGGCCATGCCATCGGCGAGCCAGATTCTTAACTAATCCTGGTTTCACCCGCTCCATATACAGCCATACTCGGCTTCCAGGTCGAAATAGAGACTTCAGTTCCGATTCATCGTCGGGCGAGTCATCGTTCACATTTTTGGTACCGCGGCTTGCTCTTTGCGACTGAGCTTCTCATTGTGAATTTTAGCGCGTCGGGCCTTCTCCACTGCTTGGTATTTTTCGCCATCTCGAGAGCAATCTGCTGCTGGCGGTCGATTTCTCGTCACCAGGCTAGTGCATCAGTCTGCCATCGACACCTCGCTTCAGAGAGGTCGTCATTGTTCGTAGAATCGTATGGTCATCCCATCCATGCGCCAAATAAAATGGTGTCTCTTTCCTGATCATATCATGAGAGTTGTTGATCACAAAGACTAGTCGCTCGGCGATCTCATCCTAGTCTTGCTGAAACGGGTCTTCCACATAGACCTTGACAGACTGCATCACAATCTTGACCGACCGCTCTTGCTGTCCATTCGCTTGTGGGCGATAGTTCAGCGTCGACCTTGACCTTGCTTGTATTAACTCAGCAAAAGCCTGGAAGACCTCACTCATGAAGCATTGGTCTCGGTCGTGACGAATAAGAGACAGGGCACCAAATCGTCTATAGATGCATTCCTCGAACACCTT